GACATCACTGCTGGTCTTTCTTCCACAAGGTGAGGCTCTCTAGTCATACCTTGTTGTAGTAAGTAGGGAACAACTTCGATCGGAATATCGGTTTTAAAAACTCATTTGACACGTGAATGAAGTCGGTGCAGATGTGCGGTATGGTACTGTAGCGTACTTCGCTCTCACTGTAGCTGATTAGGACTTTAGTCCTCTTCCCTATACTTATTGTTAGTAGCTATCATTATCTCTTTTTCTGGGGGAAGTCCACCTTGGGGTGGGCCTATACCTAAGTAAGCCATTTGGAAGTCCTGGCTCTCATAAATCTTAAACGTCGACATCAAGTCGAATCCACTGACCTTTTCGGGAAGCTTTTTCGATGCTGAACACCGTTTGCCCTGATTCATTTACTTTCCTTATAAATTAGAGATATATAATTGTATCTACACCAGTTCTCCATTTTCAGATGCAGTCTAGTCTTCCAACGTTACTATGAGCTTATTCAACATCAACAGAAAAAGTGCTATAAAGATGATTGTCAGGCGCAGGCGAATGATAATAAGGTTGGTAAGAGCTATAGGATAATCCTCCCAAGAACAAACCATCTTCTGGTGATTTCAGATCGTCGAGGAGTCGCTGACGGACGAGGAAAAGGCGCAACTTATCCAGCAAACCGCCCTTGCCAGCATAAACGATGCCAAGCCGGCTGATTTGGCAAAACTTCTCGGTGCCAGCAAGTCGAGCACAGAGGCGCTTCTGAAGCTAGTAAGAAGCTTACCTGGCTGATGTCTTTTTCCTCAACTGGTACGGAACACCTGCCATATATAGCTTTTTCAGTGCGAATCAGCAAACACCTCACCATCGTCCATGTTCCATAAGCGATGTCCGTTCTGTGGTCTGTTATTCCGCAGTCGTCAATCGCTTCAGGAACACATCCCAGCTCGGCATCCACAGCAACATTCGGTTACACCTGTCGATATCGATTTACTGCCGAATGCTGAAGATGTAAGCGTCCCGACGTCGTCTACGGTCGACCTACGACAGAATAGCTCCGTTCCTCTTCAGGTTCCTGTTCTTATTCCTCCCACCACCACCACAGCCACCGTTGAAAACAAAGATCTCGCCGGTGTGCTTGATCTGAGCAGTGCATCGCAAGAGTGAGTTTTTACGATGATCTCGTGGGTTACGGTGGTCTCACAGGAAAAGTGTCATTGCAGCCGTGACACACTGTCGATGTCACCGTTTCTTGGCCAGTCAGACGATGACCCAACGGAATTCATCGAAGAAAATCCCGCATCTTATGCTAGTGGCTCAGCACAATCCCGATCACCCACGAGTAACAAGCGCTACCGTACTCATCTTACTCCCACTCAAGTTCATGTGAGTTCATTTTACCTGTTCAGTTGGGAGGTATGACTTTTAAACCGCGTAAAAGCTTACGGTCAAGCAACCGGTCATCGTCATCTCGTTGTCTCCTCTTCTCCTTTTTTATTTGTATTCCTAAGTGGTTCGTCATCGGCGCGCACGGCTGCGGTGCGGCTTCTTCTACTGCCGCAACGCAGCCGCACGCCTGTAGCAAACACATGCGTTTGCAAGCTCTATATTGTGAATCGAGAATTATACCCAATTTAAACTGCCCAGTCAAGAAGTGTATTCGCTTTAGGGGTTTGTTGCTAGAAGGTTCGGCCTACTGCCCTTATTACTTCTGTTATTCCTTGGAATAATTATCGATTTACACCTTTTTTCAACTTTTATTGATTATCGACTTTCAAGAAAATACTGTAAGATCCACGTTCACGTTCAGGTGATGAAGAGCGTGTTTGGAGACTATAAGACCCCTTCGATGACGGAATGCGAAGCGTTGGGACGGGAGATCGGTCTTCATAAACGAGTGGTGCAAGTGTGGTTCCAAAATGCACGAGCCAAAGAGCGCAAGACACGAACGGCTAGCGGTGAGTTTTACTCGGCGGAAACTTCTGGGGAGACACTCCCATCTCCGTAGAAAGCCACGCCCACTAGCAACTCCCTCTTTTCGGAGTCAATCAATAGTTATTCGTGTACATTTTAGGCGAGGAAGAGGTGAATCGTTCGACGTCTACATCGTGCACAATGTGTGGTGTAGAATACGGTGGACGAATAACGCTGCAGGACCATCTGTTCTCTTTGCAACATCTGAACAGTCTTAAAGCTCAGCTCAGAGTCGACACCGCTCAAGCAGAAACAACGTCAACAGCGTTTCCAAGCGAAAACGGTGGTGAACGGCGATCAGCACCAGTAAGGTGTGTAACAGTTCCATTACGGTAATCGATATCCTTGAATATCAGGCACCACTTACACTGATTACGTCTCTTTTTCAGATCAACTAAAACTACTGTACCGTCTCAGTTGAGCAATCTTAATCTAAACGGGTTTCCATTCAGTTTTATGAACGGAATGATGCCAGGAGGTACGGTAACTTAAAAGACTGCTTCAGAGGTTTTTGAAAGCTACCGTGGTTTTTTCAGCGCTTCCTCTTGTCTACGATCCGGCAATGTTTGGTACGCCAGTGGCGATGCTTCAGATTCCTGAGTCTGTAAAGATGCGTATCAAATCCGACATCACTGCTGGTCTTTCTTCCACAAGGTGAGGCTCTCTAGTCATAGCTTGTCGTAGTGAAGCTTAAAGACGTGTAAATCCGTCCTTTTTTTGTAAATTGGCCGCGATTTTTTTTTTGATATTTCTGACTATGGGGCATTCAGATACAGGATGATTTAAAATATGTCGCCTAGGTGAAAATTATTGGTTTCTCGGAACCTATTCTTTAAATTCTTCGTTAAATACCCACTGTTTAGATTCACACAGGACGGCCTGAGCGTTGATGAATTGCGGAAGAAATTGGACGCGGACGATGCTAATACGCTTTGTCACAAAGAAGTCGAGGTGAGGTCGTTTTGCTAGGTCGACCGAAGGGGGATATACTGATTTGGGTCCAAAACAAGAAAAGGAAAAGGAAGAAAAGGCTTTGAAGGGTATGAAACGTGCGTTAGTGGTTCATTATCTTGCACCATGACGTTCACAGAAAAAAATCTATTGGTGATGTAAGTAGAAAAGTTGGATTCACGTGAAAATTAGCAAACTGTTTGCGACAGCTGAGTAGAGCATTGAGACCAGAGACGGGATCGCCTCATTTTTTATCAACAAAAATCAACCACTCTTTGCTGAGGGGAACCAATAGAGATGACGCGGTGTGCTTGAAAACCACGCCCACCCACTCCCATTCTGTTCTGAGCTATTCCCATAAGCAGATTGAGGTTCTTTTTGGGGTCACTTTCAAGAACTTTTTGAAATTGCAATGTATGTATAAACCAGCAAGTCACTGGTTAGAATTCATGACTCCATAAGTTACCAAGGTCCCTCCAAGAGTTGGCTTATACTATCACCACGCCCATTAGCTCTCAAGAAAGAACTTCTATTGTTGATAAAACTTCGAATTTTTCCATGAACAGTTCGAGGTGCTAAAATGAAACCGGACCTCAATTGGTATTGGAACAATATGAAGAATATAACTTATTAAAGTCTTTAAAAACATGTTTTGAGATTAATGTGGAGTACATGATGGTATGAGGGTTTTTTAGGTTGGCTGGGCATGTCCTTCTTGTACGAACGTCTTTCAGCAAGAGGCTCTTCTGAAAAATCATCAACGGACTGTATGTCAAGGAACGGATGCTGTAAGTAGTATGAATTCAAGTGTAAACGTACCCTTGGTTATTTAGGTTTAAAACGTTTATGGGCTTAATTTGAAACGAACGAAATAAGTGGGTAGTATTCATGTCGCCAATGTGACTAGAATGAAATAAAAAATAGATCCAACTTTCTACCGTAATCCTATCACCGCTTTATACTTCTATTGGGTTGTCCGAAAAGTTTCCGCCGATTTTTGACACCCTGGATTTATCTACCGTTGTACAAAAGATCAAGGACCCAACCTAATACAGTTATATGTTTCTGAAAGAGTTGATCCTCCTCTATATTCCTGTTGGGGTTCTGTCAACATTTGTCGAAGTTTGTCTGTATAGGACTCGCATAAAAATGGTGAACCGCAACCATCATT